AAAAAAAAAGTCCACGATAAATTCAGAAAATAACCACCAATTTCTTTTTCAATTGTATGCGAGTGTATCATATTACATCTTGATTCAGATTTAAAATGATTGACCAGTGAAGTGTAGCATGACGAACATTACATGTAAAGTTTTCCATCGGCGCCGTATCTTAGCCAAGTCCATTCTCTCTTTGTCTCCTCCACCGTAATAACATCCTGAGAATGCAAGCATATCAGGTTCAAACCTGTAGCAATAAACTCAGTCAAGTGAAGAAAAGTCACTCAGCCTCATTCTAGTGCAGGCATCCAACCACATGCCACGGTGCACAAAATTTCTATCGAAAGGCTATAGTTTCATAACAATAATATTATGTGAAATATTCATAGAAAATAAATCTATTCTAGGTTCAGAACACTAATTACAAACCTTAGATGGAGGGCTATGTAATGCTTGCTTTTCGTCCTCATTCTTTGCACCAATTTTATACCCATTTCCTGGATGGGTTTAGTGAACTTCAATGCATGGTAGTTAACTCTACACCTAAGCTTTTGTAGATCCGTGCTCAACCTATTTGAAAGTCTATAATCGAATTTGGTCAACTGTATAGCCTGTGACACAAAAGGTTTCCGATCATTGCTTGTATTATAAGATAACAGCTAATGATATAACGACTTGCAACTCCACATTTACATCTATGAATGTAAAAAATTTCTAGTGGTCCTCCATTATAATAGAACACAACAAATATTTCTGCATTGCACCACAAGAAGCAATGCGGCATGTATGTTTGAATAAAGTAATCCCCTTTTAGGGAAGATGAACGAGCATGAGTATGCCTCAAATGTCTTTACCAAAGAAAAGTGCTTTTCTCAATAAAAGAAAAGGCCTACTCTTTCTGCTAAGATCAACTTCTGATATTAGACTGAGTTGGAACTCCTGGAAGAAAAGAAAGGTCACTCATCTTCGACTTCCGACGTTTCTAACATAGGACGTCAAGAGCACATAGAAATTTGGTATCTTTAGCCTTTCACTTCCGAAGAAGGGGCTTTTACCAAGGGAGCAATGGGAGAAGGTCTCAGCCAGACCTCGTGTTCGGACTCCAAAAACAATTCAATGCAATTTGAAAAAAATAAAAAAAAATAAATAAATAAATAAAAAATAATAAAAAAAAAAAGAAGAAGAAGATTTTTTTTAGTCATTTTATCTAAATTCATTATGGCACCAAAGTATCCAAGAACTTAGTACTTGATGCCCCACCATTATAAAGCAAATGATTCTTACTGTTACAAAATGATTAATTTTGTCAAACTCCAAAAATGCACCTAGTCTTTAGCAGAATTCTTTCCTTTGAAGATAAGTAATATGCTAGGCATTGGACTCTTGGAGTGTTCTACACGAGGAGGTCAGCAGGAATATGATCGACAATCAATAATTCCATTGAGTGAGAAGATCATTTTCCATTCCAGTACATTATAAACCTTGGCAACCCAAAATCAACCCAAAATCCAAATTGTGGCAGAGATGTTAAAAATAGAGTCTAATTATAGACCAATTAACATATAACTGTAGCAAGTTAAAACAAACTCATGGAAAAATCAGTCTACTTGCCCTCTTTGTCTATCTCATCTACAAAAAAAAGTTTATTATATTATAGAAAGACTGTATGGAAACAATACTTACATGCTTCTTCGAAAGTACAGGAACTAAACGACTAATATAGCAGTGCTCATTGCACTTTCTTGGTACACGCATAGTATATGGATTCCATATGCGCCCTCTTCTTCGTGGGAGCTCTTTTATGACTTTTACGTCTTTCCACAAATATGATATAAACCAATCAGTATCGAAGACCTCTGAAAAGTTGCTGCAAATGAGCAACAATGAGTGACGAGAAAAAGTTAAAAAGAGAACTATGGAGAATATGAATCAAGACTTTACCTGACGTCTTTCCAGAAAGACTTCTGATCCAATTTTGGGACAACAAGGGTGGCATTTAAGATGCGAGCTGCGACAACAGCATCAGTAATCTGCATAACGCAACATTAACAGGTTTCAGCATCTTCAACTAGAGCCTCTGACCATGGAAAAATGTATAAGAAATCCACATAAACTTTAGACTATACTACTACTTTCATGCCCAAAGTAACAACAAAAGAAAAAAAAGCATAACAACATTGAGAGATACTGCAGTTTGCAAATTGAGCTCCAGAACTCTAGTATAAAACAATGTAACTGAACTTCTTAGCTGAACAAAATCAGGGTATGTGCTAAAATGTTTACACATTCCAGCATCTCATAATTAGAGAACAAAATCCAACTTCAACAAAATATCAGTCTACATCCCTGCAGCCAATTTTGGTAGTATAAAGTATGACAGGGATCACGTCGTAAGTGGAAAGAAAAATTCAAGGATTTCCAACACAAAATTTGTAAATTGTAGAAATGAGAACCATCAGCAAAGAAAGATAAAAAAATACAGTAGAGAATGGGGATATTGTCACCGACCAACTGTTTCAAACTTAACATGTCTCCCATTAAATATTTTATACCAATAACTCTGAAAAAAATCAAGGATAAATGAAAGTCAAACAGCTTGCAGAAAATGTATATGTAGGTCTCTGCATACAGTTGCTAAACACTATTACAAAACTACAGTCCCTAAATTCCAATCCCACTACAAACTTTATGTGGATTATTCTTAGAGATAATAAAGTTTTTCCGAGCAGTTTATAGATTAAGAACTTTAAAACCATTTCTCATTAGTAAATGGGAGATATTGTAGGTAAAGAGAATTAATACCCCAGTTCTTTGCTGGTTCAAACCTCCACTGGTTGCAATGGCCAGGTAGCGATTCATGTGTGTTATGGAAGAGGCTTCTGTTATTCGAAATTTGAGATCGAAAAAAAAAGGGAAGGAAACATACACAATGTTAAAATATCCAACTAAAATTACTCCAGCAGCTTCAACATGGAAACAAAGCTCCTGTTTATGAATAACTAATAACATTAACAGCTCAAATGGGTTTACGCACTATCAAATGTACTGCTAGCATTGCTGCATCCGTAGTAAAATCCGGCATTTTTCGTGGTCCAAAGATCCCGATGGTGTAGCCCTCCACTATTCTAGATCTCATCATAAAACAAACGTTGCATTTAGCACGAATCTCGGATCCAGAGCAATCAAACGCCAACGTTAGACAAACAAACTATAAAATACACAGGTACATAGAACAAAAGGACCTAACCGGAACACGAAATAATGGCGCTTCCTTTTGTTCACCGCCCTCAATATTCATCTACAATCAAAATATGAGCAAAAAACAACTGAATAATTTTCCCACGGGCGAAAACAGAGCAGAAAACCAAAAAAAAAAAAGAAAAAGAAAAAGAACGAACCTTTCTGCTCGAAATTACAGGTATCCTCCTGCCAAGATGGATGTGATCGCCGTCGCTAGGAGGCGGTGCAAGGAAAGAGATGAAAGCAAAGAGGAGGAAGATGGCAGCGGAGATAGCCGATATGGCGGGAATGAGGCGGCGACGGCGGTTCGGGTGGCGCCGCCGCGGGTGTGCCATTATACAGTGCACGGGGAATATTTGTTGAAACCTGTGGGCAAATGAATGAAATGCAGAGGTCACTACACTTTACGGGAAAATTGGGCATATCAGTTTCTTCAAGTCGAGCAATCTTTGGAGTTTTGCAGTTGGATCATTCTGCATATAACAACAGATGACTTATGATGCTCTGCAAATCAATCTGTCTGTGTGAATTTTTTGTTAAAGTGTAGATTGATTATTATTTCCATCAAGTCAAATTGAACTTGAGGGTTTTGGAGAATTGGAAGAAGGACATTGGGTGAGCTAAGATTGAAATGATGAAAGGTGACTAATGGTGGTGAAAATTTTAATGCAAGGCTTGACTAACAAAGGTCAGCCTAACACTATCCGTTATTCCCAACTCAACCGAACCCAATCCAACCCAACTTTATAATTAAAAATTTTTTTTCTCTCCTTCACCTACACAATTCAATCTTACAATCAAGTTTACCTTCATCCTCAACGCAACTCAGCCTAAATATTTATTTTATTTTACTTTATCTAAAAAATGCAATTGTGTTCTAAAAGATATTAAGTGTAGTCTCTATTTGTAGAGAACGAAAAAAATATGAATTTTAGTTTTTTTTTAAACAAAAAACTTATTTTTGGCCAATCAAAAATGGACAAGTATTTCATTTTACAACACAACCGGTTGCAACATTGGGTCACAATGTGACCTCACTTGGGCGACCATGACCTTTTCTTTATTTTTTGTACTTTTTTTATTGTTTTAAATCGGTGACACACTCAACGGGTGTCACCGATAAAAGTAGTCTAAGGCCTAGATTTTTAATCTTTTCATTTAAATGTTTCAATTTTAAGCTAGACTCAATATAAAGTCTACTTTTACATTCTACTATTCAATTTAAGACTTCAAATCACTTTGTATTTTGATATAATTATGTAAACATCAATACTTGTTTTAAAATTTACTTTTAAGTACTTATAATGAAAATATTAAATATCTTTAATAAATTATCTAATAAGATATTTACTTCATAATTTACATTTATGCAAAAGCTTATTTGAAATTTATTTTAAAAGTTCAAAATTAATTTTAACTTAATTTTAATCAATATATGTGATAATATTAAAATATAAATTATTTAGAAAAATAGTTTTATTTTTTAAATAAACTTATAGAAATAATTATTTGTGAATAAAACTAACTACAATAGAATTTTTCGGGTATTAATTTTATATATCCTTAACTTGTTAAAAAATACGAATTTTATTCACAAATAATATATTTTATAAGTATATTTAAAAAAAAAATATTTTTCTAAGAAGTTTATATTTAATGTTGTCACATATTTAGATTAAAATTAAGTTAAAATTATTTTGTAACTTTTAAAATAAATTTCATTAAGCTTTTGCATAAATATAAATTATGAAATAATTATCTTATTGGATAACTTTATTAAAGATATTTAATATGTTTCATTATAAGTACTTAGAAAAATAAATTTTATAAAAAAAGTATTGTTGTTTACATAATTATATATCAAAATACAAAATGATTTGGAGTCTTAAATTGAAAAGTAGAATGTAAAAGTAGACCTTATATTGAGAATAACTTAAAATTAAAACCTTCAAATGAAAAAAGTGAAAATCAGACCATATTGTGACACAATAAAAAAAGTCAACCCCTACAATGGAATTTCAAATCAATTTTTTTTTTTTTTTTTGAAACAACATAGATTTTATAAATAAAAAAATGATGGAGATGGGATATTTTTAGTATGATTGATTTTGGATATATATTTTATTTTTATGTATCTTTATTATTATTCCATTTATGTTATTATTTATTTCTAAAATAATATTTATTATATTGTTATTGATATTAGAATATTTAGTAAGAGATATTATCTTGTTGAACAAGTTAGGAGTCTTATTAGACTACTTCTCTTTTGTGTTTTTCAGTTAATTACGAAGATAAATTAATATCCTATATAGATGTTATTGAGATTGTGATCTCATTAATATCGTCTCAAATAAAATACGTTCTTTGAGATGTACCCCTCTCGTTCTTTTCGTTTAACGTTGCGCTACATCAGTTGGTATATAAATTAGCACGATTCAAGATGTCATCGCAGAAGGACGACATCGACGGACGTGACGCCACCATTGAGCATCCGAATTGACAAGCCACAAGCTTCGGCCGCCATATCAATCAATTAGTTCGTCGGGTTGAGGATCATTCGACGATGATGGAAGAAGTGTGTCTTATTATCAACAACATGGTTGAGGATTTGCAGACGAACCGTGACGCCGGTAACCGAGGCGTGCACAGGAGAATCCGTGGAAGACGTGGAGGTCGTGGTCCAGGCGGGGCGCCCTGCCGGAGATCTCCACAACCACTATCTGGCTAAGAAGATGGCGAGGAGACAATCTCGGAGGTGAACCCCTTCGGCGATTATCGACCTCCGTATGTTGAGGATGACCCCTTCGCTGCATACGACGGTCGTGACATGCGATGACGAGCCTCAGTCTTCGTGGGCGGCGACGATTAACGCACCGACAAAGGCAGGCGCGAGGAGAATGCTTCGCCAGTGGATATCGTCCCCGATGCGATTGGGGACTTGAACGTGATGGCGCAGGCTTCGCGGGGTTCGACCGACAACGACGCGGTTGGAACCTACAGCGCTGCGGCGGCACAAGAGATTGCCAGTAGCGGTGCGACATGCGGCGTTCGGCAGACATTAGTGCTGTAAACGAACCGAACCGAGCTGAACTTGGGCTGTTCGAGCTCGTGTTCGTTTACATTTGAACAGTGATCGTGTTTGTTTATTTATTTTTCAAGTAAAAAATCAGGTCCGAGTTCGTTCGTTTAATTGTTCGCCAAAGTTCAAGTTCGTTCGTGTTCGAATAATTTAATACATAAACTTTTTAAATACGTTCGATTAACTCGAAGTTTGTTCGTTCGAACTCGAAAAGAAATGAATAAAAGAAAAATAATTTTATATATCATATTTTTATTAAAAATATTATGTAAATATATAGAAAATAAATATAATTATATTATATTTTAGATTTTTTAATAAAAATATTATGTAAATATATAAAAAATAAAAAAAATATATTAAATATTGTTCGCGAACATAATCGAACGTTCACGAACGAGCTCGTATTCGTTCGATTATAAAATGAGCCTAATTTTGTGTTCGAACTCGACTCGATTAACAAACGAACGAGATTTTGTCGAACACGAACGAGCTTTTGTTCGTGAACGTTCGGTTTGTTTACAACTCTAGCAGACATTGGCGATGAGTCACACTGTGATTTTGGGCGCATTTTCTCGGCTTGTCAAGGAGCTGAAGAATTTGGGCCTATGCAGTAGGAATTTGATCGCGAATATGGTCGACGGGAGGGCCAGTTTCGTGTTGACATCACCGAGCTCGACGGAGAGAAAGTTGACGGACCATTTTACGATGGTCCGACGATTTTCGATGAGGAGTCTCAGGGGCCGGAGGATTTTCATCATGTTACGGGTATCGAAATTTAGCTGTTGGAAGAATTTGGTGTTCGATTGGTCACATATGATCTCTCGGGCTTTGGCAAAGGTGATCCTCATCCTAACAGATATCTTACCTCATATGTTCTGAATATGTTGTATTTGGTACATTCTGTGGGTGGAAATGGAGGCTTGGGAGTAGTTGGTGTAGCGCCCACTTGCTATTTTATAGAAAATGCTAATATTTTCTATGTTATAAAATCTAAATTTCTTTTTCTCATGCAGCTACTAAAATTTTCCTTTTTTGTTCTCTCTTGTTTCCTTTCTTTCTTCACTCCTACTCTTATTCTTTCTTTCTTTATGAACATATCTATCTCTTTTCTTTCTCTTTTCTTGACCCAAACTAGCTAAGGGTCTACGGAGAACTAACTCCCATAATGTATTCAAGACATGCAAAGATCTCGAACATGAATGCATAATTTTAAATAACAAGTCTCATAATTCTTTAATCAGAACAGTGCAAACCAATCTAAGATCACAAAGAATGGGATAAAATACTAAGTCTGCAAAAGCGTTCTGAAAATAAACTCAAATAAATAAACTCAAATAGAATGAGTAGGTGACCACCACACGCACCCCTACAGTGCCGCCGTCCAGCTGCTCAACCTGAAAATGATGATTGTGGGGATAAAAAAAACCCAAGTGCTCATTTTTAGCCTATAAAATACTGACATCCAAATTAATCAATAGATACCTTGTAAGCAGATATGAAACACAAATATTGGTCTTGCACCCGACTATGGTGCATCTAGAGTTCTTGCAGCCGTCTAATAAGCACAACTCTTCTCATCTTATGTCACGCATCCCTCTCTCAGGTGCTACCTAGCTTACTACATATTTCATATAAAAGAACAGCCATCAAGATGATGTTTTGATTTTGGTTGCTAATTAGAGCTTAAGGAAGGCAAAGGAACATAGCTACAGCAACTTCAGCTTTTTCCTTCATTCTGCTGAGCTGGTGGATGTTATTTCTAGAAAACATTTTCCCCTGGTGGGACAGAGCTGGCTTGATTGAGCTTTTTGATCTTATGTCTAATTGTCTGCATGTAATGCTATTGTCATGTGTGTTTTTTAAATTTTTGCTCTTTGTTCTTTTTGAGCTTGTTTGCCTTTTGAATCAGGTTTTTCCCTTTCTCATGCCTCTTGGGCCTTCTGGTTTAGGCGTAAGTTTGTTTGTAATCACTTGATTATCCGTGTTCTTTTTATTTGAGTTTTCTATTAAATTGGGAATTTAAGGAGGGTGTATTCAATTGAGATTTGTAAGGATTTAATAAAACTTTTTAAATTTGGTGACTTTTGTGGATTTTGTAGAACTTTCATGACTTTGGTGGACTTTTTGAGACTTTCAGATAATTTTCAATAGTGACTTTTTAAGACTTTCATAATGGACTTTTTAAAACTTATTGAGACTTTGTATACTTACAGTTATAATATTATGTTTGAATAAAATATTAATAAACGTAACATAATAACTAATATAAACAATAATAAATAAAAAAAGATGTTTTATATATTAATCCTCTAAAAATTTATGAATAAACTCATTTTTATGCGAAATGAGTTATTCATGAACAAATTGTTTAGGATTTTAGATTTATTAAACGAGTAAATCGATCCGAGCTTCAACGTGTCGAATCGAGCAGGGCCTTATATTTGTTTGTTAAAAGAGTACAAACTCAATTATGTGTTAGACATCTTTGCTATAACGACACTTATAATCAACCCAAATTAAGATATATTTATCTAATTATTGATTGATTTTATTTTTTATATTTTTTTGCATAATGTTGTTATATTAGAAAAATATTATCAGGATATATTTTTACAAGATACAAACATTGTCGAAAAACAGTAATTCTATCTTATAAAATTATCAATAATATTCAAAACATTTCAATATTAACAAATAAACTATTTGAAAATAAAATTATTTTTTTAATATTTTGAAATAAACATTACAAATAAAAAGAAAGAACAAATAAATTATTTGCAAGTGCAACTATGGAAGCATTAACCTTTGAAAAGCCAAATTTACAAGATAGTAAAAATGAGAGAATAAATGTATACATACATAAAATAAGCATAATAAAGAATATATAAAATAAAAAGATCACAATAATATACGTAATGAAAATAAAAATTACATAATGTATCAAAATAAATAAGTAAAATAATAGAGCATGAAATTGATATGAGATACAAAGTAATGTTAGAAAGAAAAAAAGCGTGAAAAGAGTCACATAAGTCCAACAAAATCTCACCAATATTGATGAGATTTCTGTTGAGACTTTTTCTTTCTAATTTTGTTACAAAAGTCTCTAAAAGTCTCAAAATTTAAAAAGTCTCACAAATCTTTCTGTTTTGAATACCGGTTGACTTATAAAGACTCTCAGAATGTTTTAATTGGATATCCTGTGACTTTTAGAGACTTATTAAAAGTCATTAAAAGTTTCAATTGAATACAGGTAAACTTTTGTCTTTAGAAGTTCTAATTGAATACACCAGAATTCTAAAAGTTTTAAAAAGTCTCTAAAAGTTGAAATTGAATACACCCCTCTACGTGACATTTTAAAAATTTTTAAGATTCGAGACTTTTTAGATTTTTAGATTTGGGAAAAAATCTATGAAACCTTAAGTATGGAGATAGGATTTGAAGTGAGATTTCGTATACGGTTTTTTGTTTAAAAATCCGACCAAATCTTAAAAAGTCTTAATAAATCATGAAATAAATTAAACATCTCAAGATTTTGTAAGACTTCTTAAAATATCTATTGAATACCCAAGATTTTTAAAAAAATCTTAAAAAATCTAAATTGAATACACCGAGATTTCTAAAATTTTAAAAAAATGCTAATTAAATCCTTTAAAGTTTTTTTTGTTTGTAGTTGAAAAAAAAACACGAAATTTAATACTTAAAATTTTGATCCCCTGTCTACGGTGGGCAGTGCCCACCACTTTGTTTTATATGAAAAACGTATTTTGAGAATACATTTTTCAATTAAAATATATTCTCAGAATAAACGTATTTTTGAGAATACATTTTTAATTAAAAAACGTATTCTCAGAATACGTTTTTTATATAAAACAAAGTGGTGGGCACTCCCCACCAGGTGAGCGGGGCTATTAATACTTATTGTAAAATACTACACCTGAAGAAAGGGGAGAGCTTCAATTCAATTATATTCTCACACTTGGAAATGTCTTCTTCGACATTGAAGCTCTCTTCGCTTCTCTTATCCTCATCCTCTCTATCTTGCTCACCGTCATCTTCCTCGTATTCTCTTACGCCGTCGTATGCTCCGCCGCCCCCTTTCCTCCGATTCCCGAGGAAGCTGCCCAATTACAGAGGAAAATTCTCAGTCGTCAGAGCAACTGGAAGTGACAAGAATAGCGCGCCTAATGCCGGCGATTCTAAACCCCTTAACGGGACTCTGGTAAACTTAGCCTTTATTTTACCTGTGGTAAAATCGTGATTTTGGCACAAAAATTTTGATGTCATTTGTTTTATTGCTTCTTGGTGTGCAGCCTAAGAGCAGACGAGAGATACTGTTGGAGTACGTGCAGAATGTGAAGCCTGAATTCATGGAGTTGTTTGTCAAAAGGGCGCCTCAGCAGGTGTTTACCATTGTGTCTTTATATAATATGTTTCCCGTAGGTGTTTGTGGAATTGTCTCAGTAAGTTTTGGTGTTCAATGCTGAGAAGGGAGACCATTTTGTTTGGTCATTCTCTAGCTTGTGATGCAATTTGAGCAGTTAAAGTTGTTTTTAAAGAATTCTAATTTTGATGTGAGTATCTACATCAGGTAGTTGATGCTATGCGCCAAACTGTGACAAATATGATTGGAACGCTACCCTCACAATTTTTTGCTGTGACAGTTAGTACTGTAAGTGCTTTACCTTATAATATATAGCATCCAATTTGATAGTGTTTTCTGGGTAGCAATATACGAACTGGAAGTAGATTTTTGGGTGTGATGTATAACATTGTCATTAATTCTTTGTTTCAGGTCGCTGAAAACTTGGCCCAGCTAATGTACAGTGTTTTGATGACTGGGTACATGTTTAGGAATGCCCAGTACCGGTTGGAATTGCAACAGAGCTTGGAACAAGTTGCTCTTCCCGAACCGCAAGAAGAGAAGGTGAGATTCTTTTGCTCAGAATTTCCCCAATCGGCTACTTTATTGGTTTAGAATCTCCTTGAGAAAGAGAATAATAAAATGAAATTTGGAGTGGAAAAATGGGTTCCTGACCTTTTCATATATACCACCATGTTAATGCATCACATTGAGATCTATCTTGCCATTTAGATCGTGGTAAAGGTGAAGTAAAACCCCAGATTACCACCATGCAAGAGCAAATTATGGAACATATTTTAATGTCAACAGAAATGTCCTTGGTCACCTGGGATGTTGATTATCTTTATTCTTCACAATGAATATTAAAGTTAAGTGTTGAGGAACTTAAATAAACCAGAATGTCACTGCAATTTACTGCGTTTTTTTCTCTGTATCTCCTATTGGTCTATGGAAAGGCTAGCATAAATACTAAAATATTACATTTTCTAGTCAAGGGAAAATTACTGGTTAGATTCTATTGCAACTCAATATATACCAGTTATAACCTGGGAACAGATAAGATGCTTGTAAACCAGGAGTTATCTTGAAGCCCCTACATCTGTGCATTCTGATATTCTTGCATGACCTGTGACAAATATATATATATCTCAATGGCTTTAAATGATTGGATTGTGTTTCCTATCATCTGATTTGCATACATAGTTATTTTGTATTTCCTACTATCCCAATATGTCTACCATTGTCTAGTAGAACATGTAGGTTTGAGGTGGGTTTTCTTACCTAGCCTTTTGATGGTGTAGGATGTGCCAGATTATGCCCCGGGCACGCAGAAAAAGGTGTCTGGTGAAGTTATTAGGTGGAACAATGTGTCAGGTCCCGAGACAATCGATGCTGTAAAATACATTGAGCTACTTGAAGCAGAAATTGAGGAACTCAATCGCCAGGTCGCAAGAAACTCTTCAAACGGACAGAATGAACTGTTGGCCTATCTCAAAACTCTGGAGCCTCAAAATCTCAAGGTAAATAGAAATCTGACTGCCGGCTTTGTTCATGTTCCCGTAAAACATTCTATGGCTGGTTATGATATACAGGAAAAAAAATAAATAAATAAAAAAAAAATGAAGAAATAAATACGCTGAACTAGATCAAAGGGTGGGAGAGCATATCTCGACTAACATGGTAGCTATTTATGAATGCTGAAGAATTGGAGAATGGTTTGGGGTTGAGTGAGATTCTTGATTTCTTTTATATCACTGTTACCATGGTTAGTTTCCTAGGGCCTAAATCAATTTAAATGCTCAACAAATATGTATCGTAATTGAATTTCTTCATGTTGCTTAGGAGCTAACAAGTAGCGTCGGGGAGGATGCTGTGGCGGCAATGAACACATTTATAAAACGCCTGTTGGCTGTTTCTGATCCTAGTCAGATGAAGGTATATATCACTAGCACTGTCAAGGCCTTCTCTTTTATCAATATTTTTAAATTGGAGCCTTTAAATCCTCAGTCATACTGGATAGTGGTGCACTCATGTTTTTTTTTTTATTTTTTTTTCTGTTTCTTCTCCCGCTGACATAATATTAGCTTAATATATTCCTATAGGCTATAATATTGTTGCTGTGACCTTTTATGTAGAGATAAATTATAAGCCAACAAAACATCAATTGTATGCTAGAATATAAATTTGTAAAGATGAGGTTTTGAGTTAGTTTGTCGCTCTATTGTTAAATGATGTCAATGGTAGCTGTAAGCATGGAACCTTGAAGGCTTAATAGTGGTCAATTTCAGGAATTTGCTGCCCAACGAAGATCAAAACTCATTTTCATGTCTGATTTTAGCTTGCCATTTCCTGTGGAATTGTTATTGAGCTTTTAGAATTGGTGATTTACAGACCAGTGTGACAGAGACAAGTGCCCCTGAACTTGCGAAGCTACTTTATTGGCTTATGGTCGTTGGTTATAGCATCCGGAATATCGAAGTTCGTTTTGACATGGAACGGGTGCTTGGTGCTCCACCAAAACTGGCTGAACTTCCGCCGGGAGAGAACATTTAGGTCAGTCATGCCATGCTAGAATCTGAAATTTGAACTTTGAATAGACATATATACCCATCTGTTGCGGTTGAATGGCAATCACAATCTGTTTTGTTATTGAATTGTTAAACACAGAAAATGAGCTGAAGCTGATCGTTTATTGACATTAGTTTTCAACTGAGGCTATGTTTGGCTGTCTAGAATTTTTTCTTTTTCTTTTTTTTTT